TAAGTCTCGAGCAGTACCACCGAACGTTTAAAGGTTCACCGAGAATTCGATCGATGGAAGTTAGAAAAATTGCAGCCATGTGATTCGGTTCGTTTCTCTCTGTTCCAGGATCAATTCGAGAATCTATCCCAGCACACGCAAAAAGGGATAGAGTTCCTCGAACGGTACGGGCATTTTATTCGCGACAGATGCGCCATCGAAGTGGAGTACGCCGCGAAGCTCAGGTAAGAAGCTCTCTCCCATGGAGCGAGAAGCTTTGAACGATCCACCTGTGTCTGTACCTGTGTTTGTAACTATGTAGCTGTACCCGGTGCCGCGGTATAATAGCCACCGAAACCAATTTACTATGGCCGTGTACCGAGCCGGGTCTTCTTGCCGTGCCGCGCGCGCGCGCGTCTACGTTTCCCTTTTTTCTTTTCATTTCCATAAATTAACAAAGGCCCGAGTAGCCGAGGTTAACGATTTCAATGGGACATCCTGTATAACGAGCGCGTCTCACGCACCCCACGAGTTCACGGACACAAGATGCAGCCGGTAATATTGTATTAAAGGGCCCCCTTGTTTGTTCCGTGAATGCCGTCTACTGTTGCACACGTTTGTTACAACGGGTGTCTCGGAACACTCGGTTCTCCTACGTTCTCGTCTACAGCGTTAACCCCTTTACGGCTACAACATTTCTTTCTCGGCCCGACCTTCGGAAGCTTGCCAGCGTAATTCGAACCATTCGCCGGGTGTCTGACAATGCCCGCGAGTTTGTTTGCGGTACGATTTGACCCCCTTGAGCGATACCATGTTTACTCGGACTACGATGTGTATCGCTCTCGAAGCTTTCGAAAAATTACTGAAACATTTACCAAGGGTAAACGTACACGTCATCGTTATCGAAATACACAAAAAATCATACATAGAAGCTACGCGACAATGTTTACATTGAAACACGTTTCTTTCTTGCTTGAAACTCTTCGATAACGGTGTCGTCGTTGTACGAGTGTAGATACCATTCGAGTATATTCGCGAGTATGTAAAGGAAAAATGTTGTGTCTCTAATTGACGCTTAGATTGTCCACAAAAATGGACAATTTAGGAAGAGGAGATACGATTATTCGATTTCTGCGGTTCATTTTTATAGTTACGAATTGTCAACGACTATAAGAACGAGCTGCAAGGCAATCGTATCTCCTCTTCCCAAATTGTTCATTTTTGTGGACAATCTGAGTGTCGATTAGAGAGACATTTCTGTAACACGATACACATCTTGGTTTGAAAATTGTGAAACGATGTTTCAACGATGGTTGAGAATAAATGAAGGACCATCCAGGATACAAAATTCTGAATGACGATGATGAAACTGTTACGTCCATCGATGCATTTTAAAGATTGAAATAATTCGAACAATAACCAAATTTTCGAGCTGAAATTTGTACTGTAGCTCGCGCGCACGACGTTGAAGAGAACCGGGTATGGCATATCCGATAATTGTTTCATGAAAGAATAGTCTTTTTGTTGTGAAAAAAATTAGTTGGCAAAATAAAAAAAATTCGAATCAGCGTGGAAGATGCTATCGACATGCGTATTTTCAAAATGTTATCTGCGAAATTACTGGCGGTTGACTTTCGCCCCTCGCAATCGCCGTAAAGGAGTTGAACGCTGCGCGGAGAAGTGCATATCGGTTGCACTTGGATTTACTGGTTTTGAGTTGACGCGACAGCCATTAGACACGGTAGCCGGTAGGTTGGCAATCGGGTACGCCGGTTAACTTGTTAAGTCCTGGCAGCAGCACGCGTTAATGTAAGCTACATCGTGTTCCCGGTTGTTTTTGTAGGTTTTTAATCGCACCGGTGCGGGAACGTCATCGCTCGTGAACGGACAGCTTTCCCGGTTAATGGGCTAATAGAGGCCGCAATTATCAATCGGTTACTTAGTCGTTAGTCATTAATGCAGAAGAGTCTCTCGAGCGATCGCTAGACGAGTCCGTAATTAATAATCCCGCGTAACTGCCTCCCGGCACTGGCGGCTTTAGAAATCCCGATTATCTGGATCCTCGATCGTCGGGCCCCCGTACAAAGGAACGTTTGTACTCGGGATCCACGGCTACCAGTTTCCATCCCGAGTTTCCATCCCGAACAATCGAGGTTCCGAGCGGCCACCGAACGACTCGAGTATCGATCGCATGAGATATCTCCACAACGGATCGAATCTTACGATATTTTCAGCAACACTGCGGGGGATTGCTATCGCCCCCAACGATCGAAAAGAGAGGAGCTCGCGAAACGACCTCCAACGAGTTTTCCTCGAATCGAACGCCTTGACCGATTCGAGTATCCAATTTTCCTCCATGGTAATCGATGCTTGATTCGAAACGGACTAGAGTAAATTTTAATAATAATAATAACAATATATATGTATGTGTATAATACATAATATATGTATATTTATTAAATGCGGGTTACATGTATGTACATATAATATAACAGTGTTGTAAGCGTAACAGAAAGTGTAGAATCTGAATTAATTATTCGAGAACATCTTGTACATTACAAAAACAGCCATATATGAAATATGGAGACTATAGAATAAAATTTAAAAATCCTGATAATTTATAAATTGACAACGTCTGCCGACAGAAAAGAACCGTTGCACAAAGAAATCTAAGTGTATGTATATTTGTACAGAAACAAACAAGAAAAATGTTAAGAATTGTAAGTAAAATCGGTAAAATAGATAGAAATAGATAATGTATAATATAATAGTATTGTATAATATATTACATATTATATTATATATATTATTATTATTATTGTTATTATTATTATAGGGAATAAAAATAGTAGAGGACCGTTCTAAGATTAAATGTGTTCCTAAACGTATTCTGCATCCGCAGACACAGTAATTCCGTCGATATTTCAGTTTCCGTCAAATTGTGCATAAAATTACAGACCTGTTCTCCGTGGAATGTGGATCCGATGTGGGTCGCTTGACACGCTGAGCAGCTTGTAATAGTAGAATTCGGTCTCTCCCGGTGTTCGTCGAAAAATATCGCGAGATCTCGCCGGTACGCCGAATAAAAGCCGAACAAACGGCTGGAGAGAAGAATGCCGATGTTTTCGAAACGAAAGAACCGGCTGAAATGTTTAATCGGTTCACGCGCGTCAACCTGGCGGACGATCGTTTCGCGTGCTCGTCACACGCAAATCTATCCCGAGAGAGAGAGAGCACGTTCGCAGCGGTTGCATATAAATTATCGCGGGCACGTTCCTTGCGCCTTAACGCGCCGTAATTTCTGCGATACAAGCATCGCGCGTTGCTCGTGCAAATACACAGGAGGTACCGTTCACCGGGAGTCTCAGTTTTCCCCGACGCTGTGCGCGACAAGAGAGGCGGCAGGAGGCGACGTGCCGTTGATTTTCATTAAATGCATTCCGATACGGATACACGGCGTGCCTTCGATCGCAAACGGTTCCGTGCCCGCCAGTTTTCTCGGTCAATTTAACCAGCAAAATATCCTGTCCCGGCAGCCGTCCATCGTCAAACTTCTCGCATAGAAAAAAAGAAAAAATAAGCTCTTTCGATGCGTCGGTCGTTCGAAGCGTTTCCGTCGAAGAATACTTTTGTGCCTGGAAATGCGTCATACGCCGTTTTAACCCAACCGAGGCCAGCGACTTTTCGGGAGCAAACATTTCTCCATCTTGCTCACGATTATTGCACACCGGGTATACGTATAATTCATCTCGGATGGGTTAATTCATTCGTTCGATTTATTTCTGCGCGTTTTCAAGTAGCCTCTTTTATTCGATGTAGTTTTAAATATTTCAAAGTCGCCAGCAAATGATGGTGAACGACCGTATCGAAGGCAAGACGGTAAATCATTGATGTAAAGAAAGAATAATAAGGGACCGAAATGACGGGACTTGGGCCCACGTTGATCCAGAGTTGCGAATGATCCATTTAAATTCTATTTCTCGTAGCAAAAGCAACAATTCACGCGTAAGAATTTGGATGTAACCAGCAACGGCTGGCACGAGATCATCGAAAGCATCCGCCTCGTCTATTCGAATGCCGACGAAGGTTTTCGTAATTTATCGAGTGAAAGCAGAATCGTCGTTTTTTGGACAGCGACCTAAATCCGAGAATAACTTATCCGATATTTGGATGGTAACCCAGACCCAGCTGGCGAAGAGTGCTAGCGAAAATAGCTTTTCCGATCGGACTCGTACGCGAACGGGGGCCTGGAGCCGATCGGAAGCCGGCGAACTCCCTAGTCCCGCGGTCGACCCGTCTCGGGCCGCGCCGATCCGTTTCCTCCGCAGGCCGGCGACGCATGGTCGATCTGGTATCAAGGACACGTCAACTTCCGGATGATAGTGCACTTAACAGCCGGCAGGCATTTATCGCTCGTAGCTCGGCCTGGTCGAGCATCGTTCGAATTAGAATGAGTCGGCGCGATACGAAGCGATACGGGGCGATACGGGGCCGTCATACTCTGCCACTCGAACGACCAAACGATTCGGGCCCTAATTGCTCGATGAGTCGTCCCCCGGCCTTGATGGAACCGTTAATGGACGGTCTTGGTGAAATTTTGCCTCATATGTCTATTAGGAAAACTTTCGAATCTCTGCGTCGATGGATACAGCATTACGCGAACTTATGGTTTCGGACCTCGGCCGAAACTGTATCCGGTCCAACGGGAACTGGCAGGAAATATGCTACATGGTTATCAAAATTGTCGGACACTGTTCACGTTGTTATGAACTGTTAACATTTAAAGTGGAGATGACAGTTTTTCACGAATTTCAACCGAGAACACTAGAACTATCGAGCCCTAATTGCGACTAACGTGTATTGTTTTATAACAAAGAGAATATTTGATTTACTTTTTTTATAATATCGGGAATTGTGAAAGAAAATAAATCAAAGACCAGTCATTTTGACTGGTTTGATAGTTTTAGTATTAATAGAATCTTTCTCTTTTTCTTTTTATTCCTTCATACCGAAATGGTAGTATGTTAGTCATTATACAGTAACTAGACCCTCCAACATCTCCAGGAAAATTCAAATCGAGTTTCAAAGAAAGTTATACCTTTCTAAAAGGTACGCGTTCACTTTTGCTCCTCAGTGTTTCCTTGTCGATTCTCGTAGAACCTGTTATATAGATCCTACGATTCGTAATCCATTTGTTCTCGAGAACAACGAGAGGCTCGCCCAACGTTCGCCAGACCGCAAAAGCTAGATAAGGCGACATTATCTGTAATGGGCTCGGATTGTCCACGACTTTTCTCGGAATCGCGGGAAAACGGCTGACCATCTAAGGCCATGGAAGACGAAAACGTATTAGATGCCGCGGCAGGTGATAGAAAGGTGCGACGCTAATCTTGGTCCGTTTTTGATTGCAGACGTCTCGTGAAGAGCTATCAGCCGAAGAAGAAAGAGGAGGAGGATTCTCAGTGAGTATGAGCCAACGCAGAGGCGTTCGAAACGTAATACCGGATCCACGGCTCGGCAGCGATCTGTGTGCTGCCCGGCCGCGGACGATACTCGAGAAATAATTCCGTTCTCGAAATCCATCCGCGGCGTTTTGCTTTTCCTCGGGACGCGTAAATCACCTTTTAATGATCCAGCGATCTCGATCCCGAAGACGGACGATCTCTCGCCGGCCGAATACGGCTCGTTTCCCCGCTGGAATTCACTGCTAGCTGGCATTCAGCCCACTTTTTCCGTACAACCGTTGTTTCTTTCGCTTCTCGGGTCGATCGGCGGTATTCGTTTCCCCTTGTCCAAGATCGATGTCCGGTTGCGAAAGGATTTCCCACCGTGAACCGTGACAACCGACGATTTTTAGCGTCCATCGATCGTAGGATCGACCGCATTACGGAAATTTTAGGGTCCGTCAAGGTCCACGGAATTCGCGATGGAGCGGTAACAGATCCATGCCACTCTAATATATCCAACCCCTGCCATCCACTCTCCCCAATTGGGTGCAAGATTAAATTGCCTGCAGAGTGACTCTCTTTTTTGTATCGTGTCCTGTCTTCTTTTGGTGGCTGACGAAATCGCAAACTATATATTACTTTTTTAAAAAAAAGTATCCGAGAAACCCAGTCTTCAAAAGATTTTTCAAACTTTCATGACTTCGGTCCGCTCGACACGCCTTCTCAAAGTAGTATAATTTGAAATAGATATCCTATAATATAATTGAAATAAATATTCCATTTACGAAATAGGATAAAGTCCTATCCTAAAGCACCGTCATGGTGGAAAATCCAAGAGTCGCGTTTGCACAAATCTGGCCACATCCGACGAATATTTCCACGTAAATGACTCATGGCGCGCAAACAGTACTCTTTATTGAACCATTTCTTCATCCGGAACGAATATCGAATGAACAACACCGCGATAATCGAAGGAAACGGCGAGCATGACCTTGATTTTTGAGCAAGTATGACTCCCGAAGACTGTGTAAATGGAGTCTCCCCGGAAATCTTGTTACACATGATTAGAAATGAAAAAATGATGACAAATTCTTTTGTTCGACAACTGTTTCCATTGTAGAAATCGCATATCGCACTTGTGGTCGACTGACGTAAACAGCTGCTGTAAACACAATGGTTGCGATCACACATCATGATCGAACTAAATTGTTTCGATACGTCCACCGAAGGACTTTAGACCGACAAATTCCGGGTACAGTGATGTCTCTCTAATTGGCGCCCAGATTGACCCCAAAAATGGACAATTTGGGAAGAGGAGATACGATTATTCGAGCCTTACGGTTTATTTTTATAGTTATAAATTGTCCACAATTATAAAAACGAGCCGCAAGGCTCGAATAATCTTATCTCCTCTTCCCAAATTATCCATTTTAGTGGACAATCTGAGCGTCAGTAAGGGAGACTGTACTATTTTTGGCCATATCAGAGTTGAACATTTTACGAATTCAATTTTATTCGAATAAATTCTTCGCAGATTTCGAAACAAACTACAAAATATTTTTCGAGTGAAATTTTACCAGAACAATGGCCAACTCTGGGTCATATTATAGAACCGAACGTGGAGTCGCTAGCGAACAATCGAAAACTCAGCTCGCATAGCGAAAGATCCTCGGTTCTCCCACGTGTTTAGCATTCCGCTGACGGAGCGGCATAAAACGGTAGCTAATCTGTTATCTGTGGGTGTGGGCGGGTCGCTTTATAAGTTCAGTAACTCGCTCGATTCGCGCCTACGGGCTCGTTTTCCGCGGGCAGGCAAGCCTTCTTCTCGTTTCGTTGGGCGGTCGTGTTCGGTCGTGCGTCATCGCGTTTCGCGGTTCGCCATTCGCAGTTTGCAGTTTGTCGTTGTTGGTTTGCGTGGGCCGTGTGATCGATCCTCCCTCCCCAGACTAGAATTGGATAGAACGACGTAACGAGGTTCGCGAAATCCGTGTTGCTCGCGCAGGTACAGCCCGTGCCGGGCGTTCAAACTGGAGCTGAACGAGGTGAACGATCAGGCAGGTCAGCGGGAGGTGATCGCTGAGAACTTGCAGGCGAACGTGCTCAGGGAGCTGAACATCCTCGTGAAGGACTTCAAGGAGGACAGGAAGAAGCACCTGCAGGAGGGCGCCAGGCTGATGGCGACCCTCGCCGGACAGATCGGGAATCTGGAGCGGGCCAGGAAGGCCTACGAGAAGGCGTTCCGCGAGGCGGAGAGGTCCGTCGAAAACTACCAGAGGGCGGACGCGGATCTGCATCTATCCAGAGCGGAAGTACGTCGATCGATTGCGCGCCTCCGCCCACCCTGAACACCCTGAACACTCTTTAAAGACCTTTCGACCCCGCCCTCTTCGAAGGATCGACCCGCTAACCTGTATGATTTCCGTTCTTCCAGGTGGAGAAACAGAGGATGAACATGACGCTGAAAACGCAGCAGAGCGAGGAGGCGAAGACCGAGTATGCGAACCAGCTGCAAAAGACGAATGAAATGCAGACGTTGCACTATCACACGGCCATGCCAGAGGTGTTCCAACACCTTCAGGTATTCTTCTCCTCCTCAGTTTTCCTTGATCTCGTTAGAGTAATTGAAATACAATCGTAACGGCGTTAGGAAAGTGAAAATAGAAGTGGGTCGGAACGACTCGAGGAACGTAGCAGGGTCTATAAGCTCGCGGTAGGTAAAGCGTTAAATTATACGCGCATCAATTTTCGCTGAAACAGACCTTATCGCTCGTTAATATACACCGTTGTTCCCTCGTTCCTGTTCCTATGATCATCTCTGTTCTTTTACAGGAGCTGGACGAGAAGAGAATAAAGAACATGCGGAACTACATGCTGAAGTCCGTGGAGATCGAGCGAGCAGTCGCGCCGATAATCGCGCAATGCTTGGACGGCATCGAGAAGGCCGCGAACGAGATTAACGAGAAAGAGNCGATTATTCGAGCCTTACGGTTTATTTTTATAGTTATAAATTGTCCACAATTATAAAAACGAGCCGCAAGGCTCGAATAATCTTATCTCCTCTTCCCAAATTATCCATTTTAGTGGACAATCTGAGCGTCAGTAAGGGAGACTGTACTATTTTTGGCCATATCAGAGTTGAACATTTTACGAATTCAATTTTATTCGAATAAATTCTTCGCAGATTTCGAAACAAACTACAAAATATTTTTCGAGTGAAATTTTACCAGAACAATGGCCAACTCTGGGTCATATTATAGAACCGAACGTGGAGTCGCTAGCGAACAATCGAAAACTCAGCTCGCATAGCGAAAGATCCTCGGTTCTCCCACGTGTTTAGCATTCCGCTGACGGAGCGGCATAAAACGGTAGCTAATCTGTTATCTGTGGGTGTGGGCGGGTCGCTTTATAAGTTCAGTAACTCGCTCGATTCGCGCCTACGGGCTCGTTTTCCGCGGGCAGGCAAGCCTTCTTCTCGTTTCGTTGGGCGGTCGTGTTCGGTCGTGCGTCATCGCGTTTCGCGGTTCGCCATTCGCAGTTTGCAGTTTGTCGTTGTTGGTTTGCGTGGGCCGTGTGATCGATCCTCCCTCCCCAGACTAGAATTGGATAGAACGACGTAACGAGGTTCGCGAAATCCGTGTTGCTCGCGCAGGTACAGCCCGTGCCGGGCGTTCAAACTGGAGCTGAACGAGGTGAACGATCAGGCAGGTCAGCGGGAGGTGATCGCTGAGAACTTGCAGGCGAACGTGCTCAGGGAGCTGAACATCCTCGTGAAGGACTTCAAGGAGGACAGGAAGAAGCACCTGCAGGAGGGCGCCAGGCTGATGGCGACCCTCGCCGGACAGATCGGGAATCTGGAGCGGGCCAGGAAGGCCTACGAGAAGGCGTTCCGCGAGGCGGAGAGGTCCGTCGAAAACTACCAGAGGGCGGACGCGGATCTGCATCTATCCAGAGCGGAAGTACGTCGATCGATTGCGCGCCTCCGCCCACCCTGAACACCCTGAACACTCTTTAAAGACCTTTCGACCCCGCCCTCTTCGAAGGATCGACCCGCTAACCTGTATGATTTCCGTTCTTCCAGGTGGAGAAACAGAGGATGAACATGACGCTGAAAACGCAGCAGAGCGAGGAGGCGAAGACCGAGTATGCGAACCAGCTGCAAAAGACGAATGAAATGCAGACGTTGCACTATCACACGGCCATGCCAGAGGTGTTCCAACACCTTCAGGTATTCTTCTCCTCCTCAGTTTTCCTTGATCTCGTTAGAGTAATTGAAATACAATCGTAACGGCGTTAGGAAAGTGAAAATAGAAGTGGGTCGGAACGACTCGAGGAACGTAGCAGGGTCTATAAGCTCGCGGTAGGTAAAGCGTTAAATTATACGCGCATCAATTTTCGCTGAAACAGACCTTATCGCTCGTTAATATACACCGTTGTTCCCTCGTTCCTGTTCCTATGATCATCTCTGTTCTTTTACAGGAGCTGGACGAGAAGAGAATAAAGAACATGCGGAACTACATGCTGAAGTCCGTGGAGATCGAGCGAGCAGTCGCGCCGATAATCGCGCAATGCTTGGACGGCATCGAGAAGGCCGCGAACGAGATTAACGAGAAAGAGGACACAATGATGGTGATCGAGCGCTATAAGAGCGGGTTCCAGCCGCCGGGAGATTTCCCGTTCGAGGACCTGTCGGTCGCCAAAACCTACGACAGCAATAGTCAGCTGTCGCAGCCGGTGATGCAACCGATACACAACCACCTGACGGCGAAGGGCACCGTTTCCGGTGGCAAGATCAAGAAGAGGGTCGGCCTCTTCGGCATATTCAGCAGCAACAAGGTACACGCTATTCCCTCCCGGCACTTGGACGACTTAGGCCACCGCGACACCACTGTGAACCTGGCATCCGTTCGCTCTGTACTCTATACTTAGTCTCGTTCCACCTGTTAACCCGTTGGCTTTGTACCGGGTGTCTATCGAGCACCTTGAATGCCTTGAACTCGATACATTCAAGGTGTGGTACAGCCCCTGTATCTTGAGCCGGTTAACAGGTCGATCCTGCGGAACCAGGAGGTAGCGATGAGATGCACGAACCGATATCCCACCCTCTCTTTGTTTCTCTTTTTGTTCTTGCATCCCCGTCGGTCGACAGGCCTGCGATACGCACACAGCATATCTTGTCGAAGCATGATCGATACCCTTGCCACGCGTGTACCTTCGATAGGTCTCTTACTCTCAGCGACACCGTAGCATCGGCACCGTGCCACGACATACACTCGATCCGGATTAGCCGGACCGTTTAGCCGACATTCGCGCGAGACACGCACAACTTATCTTTCTTCTGTACTTTTTATTAATTTCGGTGGATGGTTCGATCTGCCTGTGGTCTCTTGTTTCCGATCGTCTCCGGGGACTGTGCATTTGGATACAAATTGCGCTTTGTAAGTACGTGTTGTGTGTCCATGGATCGCTTGTTCGCCGCCTGCCAGTGTGTTACGATCTCTTTGCATCCCCTCCGTATGCATTTAGTCGGGAACGCGACAGTGACAACAAGCGATTTTGCGTGTCGTTAGATGTATCTTGTCGGTCGAGCAGAAACTCGGGCACACGTCGTTCGAGAATCTTTACGGAAGTAAGAACGCCGAGTTTGCGCCTCTGCCGCTGAGTTTTTGCTCGAGTTCGAGATCGTTTACCGATCCATTCTCGCTAAGTGATACGTTTTTTGGACTTTGTTTCATGCGAACAACAGAAGTTGATCGAGGTGTGCATAGCTTTAAAGGTCTGTCTTATTCTTTACCATCGCCCGTTGCCTTTCGTTCGACAGCCCATGCTAGAACCACGAGAACCATTCACGAATCGCTTCCTGATTCCCCAATTTCTCTGCATCATCCTTTCTGACATATACCCGACGCGATCGCGCGAGTACGCTTCGCCCGTGACCAGAATCAGCTGAAAGTATCATCCTGTAGCGTGACCGATCGTCGAACCTGTTGCCCGAGCGAGTCTCCTTCTTTTCTGTTTATTAATTGCCTCTACTGTTAGCCATCGAATGAACTTGCTCCGGTAACAGGTTGACAATAGTTTGCTCATGATATCCTGCGTTCTCTGACTATTCTCTTACCGTAGAATTAACCCTTTTGGTCCTTGGAGCTCGTTCGTGTCTGTGCTGCGAAACTGACTGTCCTGTCCGTATCTGGTTTACAGTGCATACGATGCATGCATGTCGCAAGCTGAAAGCTTCCGAGCTGAAAGGGTTAATCGCCACGATGTCGCGTGTCGTGCCTAACTTTCGCTGCGCCAACTATCAACTGCCAAATGCGTGCCATCTCTCCTCTTGTTCTCTCATCGTAATCACACGTTGTCCTATCGACATAGCGATAGAGAGCCTATCTTTGCGAGTGGCCGGTTACTGGACCAATTCAATTGCAGAACAACGTGCCTGGATACGGGGACGGGGCGAAGGAGGACTGCAGCGATCTGCCGCCGAACCAGCGCAAGAAGAGACTTCAGCAGAGGCTCGACGAAATTCAAGCGAAAATCCAGCAAGAGACAGCGGCGAGGGACGGTCTGATGAAGATGAAGGGCGTGTACGAACAGAACCCGGCACTCGGCGATCCAATGAGTATAGAAGGACAACTGAATCAATCGAGCAACAAGCTGGATAAACTCGGCGCGGAGCTGGCAAAGTTCCAAGGTTATCTCGAAGAAGCGATGCGCGCCGGCGTCAGTCTGTCCAGGTGACCTTGCTACTTTCCATCTAGTTCCTCTAGCCGTAGAAATTCCATTCGTCGAAGTCGTGCCTATTTTTTAACGAATTCTTTTTTAGTCCCAGTCAAGCTCCGCGAAAGCCCACCAGCAACGGATCCGCGACCAGACCGTTGAGTTCCAGAAGATCCAGCCATTCGGGGGGAGAGGAGAGCCTCTCGAGATCAGCGTCCGACTCCAGTGTGAGCAACGCGAACGCCAATCAACCGATACACAAGAAAAGTGCCCCCGGCACACCGCAACCCACGCACGGGTAAGCTTTTTAATCGACACCGTTGATAGCCGCGGGATATCGACCTCAGGAACTCGTCCTGCGAACAAGTTCTTGTCTTTTTCTTTTTCCGCTCGATTTTTAGTAACAGAAGAATCGTTGCGATAATTGCCAGTGTCTCTCCGTCTTTCTTTCCCTCGCTGTTTCTCCATCTGAACTCCTACAGTCTAAAACACAGATCAGAATTTTTAACTAGACCAATTAGACACGCTTTTCGCTTTACGGTACTGATGCACAGTTCCACGAATAGCCCGGAATCTGGTCTCGGGGAATCGAGGACGTCTCTACCTGGTAGCGGCGGTGAAGAATATTACGTTGACGAGATCGATGCACAGCCACCATTGGGAACGTGTAGGGCTCTATATCCATTCGACGGTATGTATGGATGGAGTTGTTCCGGTCTTCATCGTGATTTATAGATTAAGGATCTTTGAATATTGATAGTCGAATTGAGTGTGAAAATAAGAGACGAGTGTTTAGATCTTGAATTTCGTATCTACAGCTACCAGCGAGGGATCCATACCGATGTTCGACGGCGAAGAGCTGTACATGATCGAGTTGGACCAGGGGGATGGCTGGACTCGGGTCCGACGCATCTCGCAACCGATAGAGGGCTTCGTGCCTACATCTTACATCGAGTGCCACCTGTTTAACACTTAGCCGCTGCTTCTAGGACGTTAAACGATTACGAAGCGAGCGGCGAGTCGCGCGAATGAAGATGCGAGGGTCTTGAAACGCTATTCGGTTCAGTGCGATACATTGAACGTCGAAGAATAGCTACCTTGCGAGATTTCCCGGCTGAAGGGTCTTGTGTTGGTTGATAGGCACATAGGATTTCCGGAACACTGCTACGTTGTAATCGTGGGCCTAAACGTTACCGTACGATTCTCGTATTTACGTACGAGCGTAAAGATTCCGATGATGTGCCAACGGGTTCGACATGCCTGGTAAGATCGATAGATTGTGCGAAATGTTTAGTCAATTACGCCCAACGCGCTACCCTCTGTCCTCCGTGTCGTCAATCGAACGAGACATAAGGAATGAAGGATGTTAGGAAAGAAGGAGGGAGAGGAGAACAAGCTCGAGCTCCGGCTTGTTAACGAACCTCGACTCAATGAATCCTGAACAGGATAATCAAGATTGACCGTAGAGAAATCGGTCGCCCACGCATCGGATACTTCTGAAGTACGGTACCGTTTTCTATGAAGAAGCACACCCTGATCACGCTTGACCAGCCTTGGAAATGTGCCTCTGTACTTTGGTCGTGCACAGCCGAACAATTAGCAAACACACTGCTGAACGAAAGTAACATACTTTTCATATACCACGTAATAACGCGCTCCGCCTATACACGCGTGTCGAATATACACGAACAACAGAATATTGTGCGATTGTTGTGTAACTGTACGAATTTTCTCTATCTTGTTTCCCCTGTATATCGATTCGATTGTGAAGCAGGCGACTCATGGACGATTCACACACTATCTCCGCCGACGACCAAGAAACCTGCTAACGCTCTCAACTATTCATTTTGTTCGCGTGGACATGCTACAGCACACCTATTAACCGGGCGATCTTTCAACGCTGAACAAAGGCAGGCTCTCTCTTTCAGCATATTAAACGAGAAGCTGCTCGAAAGATACGCACTCAAGTACAAAGGACGAGCGCACTCGTCTTCCACGGTTAACAGGTGACCAGAAGAAAGTATACTCGTACACGTTAACGTTTCTTGTCTCCGCCGATGATAGCGTATGCGACCATTTTACAATTCTGTTGAGTCGTTATCGTCTTCTATTGTTGTATTAGTTTATTAATCGACGTCTTCGTTTTTAAGCTCAAGATGAGGGTGATTAGGTGGTGCTCTGTACAGCAAGTAGACCTCGACGAGTGGTCGGCAAACGAGTTTTGTTTCTACGATGTTGCCTGAATGTGAATTTAGTTAGGATATATTTCTGTACATATTACAAAGGGATATGGGAGGAAGAACGGGAGCGAGTGGTACACGTGTGAGTGCCAGGTTCGATGTATTCTGCGAGCCGTTGAGTCTCCCTCCGTCGACGGGAACAATGCGTAAAACAATGGCATTTCCGAAACAACCTCCACTTTTCTTTTTCTTCTGCTCCTCCTTCTTCTAGATCGTATGAAACGCTAGAGTCTCCGCATGTTTCGAGGGAGAGCTCAACCGCGCGCCGCGTTACAAAGCCTAGATTCGTCCTAGATTCGATTGCGATGTATCGGAGTCGTGTAGTCGTATATATTCTCGCGTATCAAAGGTATGTCTATGTATATAATTATATCCATATACACGTATACAGGTTTTTCATGTTCACGCTAATACTAGCCAGCATTTTTCTTGCAAATGATAAACATTGGGAAAAATTGAAACAGAATAAAGTTATACTGTCTTTTTTTGCAATGAATGTAATGGTGTCTGTATTTTTTTCCATCTGCATCATTTAAAAAAAATTTGTTTTCAATGTTTACTATTTGCGAGAACAACGCTGGCTAGTGTAGCATGAACACCCTGTATATTTATGTAGAATCTTGGAAGAGAAAAAAAGGAACCGCCCACGGGACTCGAACACGTGACCTATTCACTCATTGTAGCCGATCGACTCCATCAAACTTCTTCATTAGAATCTTCTGCTTCTAAATTTTCCTCCTCTTATTCCGATTCAGACTCTTCTTCGTCGGATTCGTCACCGCTTTCGGATTGTGCGATTCGTACTCTTCTTATTCCTTTTCTATGTAAGTTCCTTCAGCTAGCTTCATAATGCATATGCCTTCGTTGTTTTTATCTGGTTTACATTTTCTTCTCTTTCTATGACTGTTTTATCTGCTTCCTTTATTTCCATACACGAATCTATGCTATGCTTGTGCGTATTCGACGTACCAGTACTTTCCTTGTATGTACTCATTGTTACTTTTTATTTTTCTTCGAGTAGTACTTTCTTCACAATTCATGTGGCGATCACTAACTTAATTTGCTTTCACTTTCGCTTGCGTGAAACTGTATAATTTCAACGAATGCCTCGCTTAACGTCATTTGTATCCGTTTTCGTATACGGTACCACTGCCGCATCTCATTTTTGCGGTTTTACGTACAAAAAAGTTACGTACTTTTTACTTTTTAATCCCAGCTGAGTCCCTAAATGTATATCGGCCATTGTAACCGATGAATGACGACGCGGATTCGAGTTCCGTGGGTGGTTCCTTCTTTTTTCTCCAAGGTCCAACATTTATATATATATATATATACATACACATATATATATATAAATATATATAGTACTATAATCACTCATTAAAAAAGAATGTAGCTTCGATATACAAGATATGCAAGTGTACGCAAGTGTAATACCGAGTAAACGTGAAAAAGAGATCAGTGGCTCTCTCCTCTGCCGCAGCTGCTGCCAGTTCAATAGCTATTACTTGTGTCGCTCCGACGTACGCAATCTTATTGTTAAGTCTTGAATCGCGTGTTTGTGTCGAGGGATTGATGGAGCAAAGCAAATGGCAAGACTTTCGTAAAGGCCTTTTTCTTTTCTCCCTGTCTCTGTTTTCTTCGAATCCGTCGCATAGTCACGATACCGCTGACAAAGCTTGCAAGTTGGATTACACGGAAGCCACGGTGATCAACTTCATTACTATTTGCCAAGAAGTACTTTTCGCTCTAGCATACCAATCCCTCACATCGCGCCTGTGTATCACACTTCGTGAAAGTGTAAAAGAGAATCGTTTACGATGGTACGAGAAATGGAATTAAAAGAAAGTCCGTAACGTCTACCTTAATTCTTAAAATTAAACCGCGTTCATTCTATGTATATTTTGTGATTTTATATTCATGAACAAGTATTGTAGATAATTAACTCTGTGACTCATACGTTTAATTATTATTATTATTAATTATTATTATTAATACTGAAAAAATACAGGTACTAAACCAATGTGTCGCGTTGGTATATGTTTTATATAGTTGCTAGACTGCGGATATCGTGCATAGAGTTTTTATGATGTTGTCTTAAAATCTATTTCTATTCGGCTCTTATGTCTTGCAATCGATGCAAAACGTTTTTATCTTGTTGGGAGATCCGTAGTCTAATGATTATCATGCAACTCCAAACTCCTGCCTCTTCTAGCTTCACTGAATGCTGTGTAAGTTGTTGTTGTAGCGATGAGGGTCAAAGAAATGAAGTCGTGATCTATTATCATGTTTCTTAAAAGTATATTGCAACATTTCGCGGACAATTGACTAGATCGGAAATACAAATTAATACATTCTGATGTGTATTGTGCATGTACACACAGTTATATATAAATTAAATATAAATGTTCTTGCAAGCTCGTTGCAGATTCACAATATACATATCTAAAACACAGAAAAGCTGAAAATTCTCGCGTTCATCAACAGTTGCCCTTGGTGCACGCGCTTTTACGCATATATACTTTTTTACATTTTTCATTTGCATAGACAAAATAACAATTACTCATGGCGAGGATGTTAACAGTCGATCACCTGTGCATTGGCAGTCGTATGATTTCGTTTTACACAATATATGTACACACATATATATCGCAATATGTCAAGTCCACGCATAAAAAATAGTGAAACGTATCTTAGATTTATAGGATATTTAATCGAAGTTAGTAAAAATATGATAATAAGTTGGTTCGGCAGCTCGTGGATTTTTCGTGACATAGAATCACAGAGGTATACGGTTGAACGAGCGGATGGCCGATTAAAAATCTAGAAAAAATAAGTAAAACACACGGTAGAAAAGAAGAAGCGAAGTGACGATCGATCGATATTCATTCACGAGATCAATGAAGAAAAAGTCCCAGGTACACGGCAAGCCTCTGCTGTTTTAAGTGCTCGAGAAGAGTACAAATGTACGGTCGGCAATAAAGCGTTGTTGCTTGGCTTCCTGTGTGATTCTTGCCGCTTTTCGCCACACACGTTCTTGGTCAGTCATGTATACTGTACAAAATAGTCGCTATTCTTTTTGAACTTGCGCAACGAATTGTTTGCAAACCCTTGAACAATTTCAGTCAAGACGAAACGGAAGCAAACTACGTTAGCGCGGGATGATCTGCCCCTGCGACAGACTCGATTGTTTTCCTCCAATTAACAATCTCTCTCATACAGTAAGATCTTCCCATTCCTCGACTTGCCTAGGCGTCAGTTCAATTCGAATTCGGGTCAAGGTACCGAGAAGATCGTGCATTCTGGCCGTCAACGGATTTGCTTGAAGATCAATGAATTCCAGGACGGGTGCGTGCCTAAGTCTTTCAACGTCCACATCTGAAAATGAAATTGGATCCATCAGATTGATAGTAGAATCAATTGAAACAAGTTTTGAGGATGCCTACCAATAATATAGTTGTTGTTAGCATGAAGATATTTCAACTGTGGTATCCGATAAGTAACTGGTGGCAAAGCAATGAAAGTATTATGAGAAATATTCAACCTTTCTAAGGCTTGCAGTTCGGAAAGCTCCTCTGGCAGCTTACTCATTTGATTGTGACTCAGATTCAACTCTAGAAACAATTCACCCATTTGAATTTCGTTTACAGAGAAACTTTGCTGCTTGAAAAAAACACACAGGGTTTAAAGAAGCGGTACAACAATTACACACAAAGTAAAAAGACAATGTATTGGACGATGCTCAAATTAATGTATGGAACTCACCTGTGATTAGTGAAAATTTTACAGCAAATTTTGGTGGAATCTTTGTTATCACATTTCCAGAAAGATCACATCTTTTCAATTCCGTGTGTCTCATTAAATGATAAACTGCATCAGGTACTTGCATCAACTGGCATTCTGATAGATCTGAAACAGAAATTCAAAGAAAACATTGTAATCGTTATGTAATTACTGTGCTTTCTTTCTTTAAGTAAACAGAAACTTCATGGATGGAATAAAAGCAAATATGCAATTGTCGGTGCACGGGAAACAATGCGGCGTCCATTGCATTGTGCTGTTGGCTGATCAGCTGATCGAGTAGGTCAGTGTATCAATATTATGCGACCAATAACAATTGTATTATTACATCGCCAAGCCATTGTTTCGGGTATTGTCGTGTTCGAGCAGTGTCAGCTTCATAGTGGGGAATAGAAATGATAATTACACAGCATTTCGCGAACAATGCCCCCTTTTTATAAAACCCGCGATACACCTGTAGCAGCTGAAACTAGGTCACTAACGATATCAAAGTAAGTGTACGGTTTAATAGTAATAAACAGTATACGAAAAAAATTCAATGAAGCACCAAGTATTGATGACACAAATAACTAATTTTTGAAATTCTCCCGAGAAAACAATTTACCAAGACTTTCGTTTTCTTGTGCTTCTTCGCAGCGCAATACCACTCTCGTGACAGCATTCGCCATCTTGCTGAGGTGGACTGATTCGCTACAACTTCCCGAATCAGTCGTGCGGTCACTCTGCGGCGAAACATTTATTTTTGACAAAATTCAGGAATAAATAGAATCCATTTGCTGCCCTTGGCATTCATTCTACATCCCGGAAGTCTCCACGACGCATGAGCGAAACGTAGAATTGGTATTTCTTATTCCATAACGATCTCGGGCTGAAATATTTCACGTGTCACACGTTTCTATACAGTCGATGGATTGTCGATTTTTACGCAATTACAGTAAGTCCTATCGAATATAACCTACTAAAATAGAGTTTCGATAAAGTTGAACGCAAGTCGAACATTATTTACCCAGAAAACATTCGTGAACGTAGTAAGCTTCCGCTTCCTGTTTTTACGAGTTAGTTCCTGAAAGGATTATATTTATAGAAATGCTCGTGGTCCGTCGATTATTTACATTTGTAAATTTTCAAATGGAATTTTAACGAATAGAGTAGTAAAAGTGATTCTGTTTAAATAGAATGAAAGTAGACGCGGGACACTCGCTTGTTTGATACCGCGATGAAAAGCTTGGTCGCCATATTGATCGCACCTGCGCGTTTAATATGACTGTGATCCCGCGGTTCTGCGACTTGAATCAAGGAAAAGAATCATGGAAATCTGGTCTAGAATGCGATCACCGTATAGATTAAAAGGAACTTTATGTTGGATGCTATTATACGAAGGAAGCAAGGGTACGTGTCTGTCAATTTTCAGTCAAGGTCAATTTTATGTAGAAAATTTTCGACTAGTACAACTAGTATCGAAATGTCAAAAATTTGTGCTTTGTATGTTGTTCTGTAATAGGTAATGCAAGGTATAAAAGACAATTAGATTACGTTGTATCGATATTGATATATGCTAGTATGTAATTGAAAAGTTTTTTTTTTAGGAACGAATGATGAATCATAATATGGAACCGGGGAAATACGTGTGTACGAAACGCTACAAAATGGGTATACGGGTCCGAAGTGACCCGGTATTGGTTGAGCGAGCCAAACGAACGAACCGGTTGTTTTACCGTACACATTGACAGTGACGCTGACTTTTTGCAGTAAAGTAGTAAATAGCATCTACGGCAAGTTGCCATTTAAGGTTACGTTTCCATAGATGGTGGCGCCACGTATACAATCATACAGGTACACGTGCATGAAGGGTTGCATACACTCTCGTGTTCTACCACGTTGGTCCATGCACGAACCAGAAAACCGGCTTACGTGTTACAGGGTCGGAATTATTCACGTTTCAATCGAAACCAGAAATTCGTCCAATAGTGGATTCGCAGACTCCCTCAAATCATATCTATTTCCATCAATAAATATTTTTAGAGCGTGTGCTAATATAAACTTCTGTTTCAGGGTATTTTCCACGATCACGGACAGAGGCTTAAAGTGAGTCACTCGTTCAAATAGCAGTGTCCGGTTCGTCGCAACGCTATCATAGAAGAAAATAGACGACGATGCATCCGTGAGTCCCTTTCATATAGTCTTAATCAGCAACATGAATACAAGTAAACCAACGACAGCCGAAATAGTCGACATAAGGGTTTCGATTAAAGAGTATTGTTTTTCATGGTAAAAAGAAAACAGTCTAGTCTAAGCAAGGAAACAATAGGATGATCGATTAAGCAACACAACGGATGAGTAATCTAGCGCGGATCTATCGCGGGCTACATGTAAAAAGGATCAGGAAGACGGAACGACACTCGCCTGGCATGCAAAGCGTGCGCGTTTACTCTGCCAAGGCCCCATAGCGGTTCACTATTCCGAGATTGACCTTTCGTATGCGTCGATGCTTCCAAAACGTGCAAGAGATCTTTTCTGTTGACGGACCGGTTGGCTCGCGGTTATATGGTTATAACGAAATCGGCGTCAACGGTCCGCAAACGCGTTTATACGACGGAAATAGATCGGTTTTGCGCGAGACGAGGAACACCATCGTTTCCGGAAGCGCAGTTCAAACGCCCATTTCTCGAGATTTTCCGTGTTACCGTAAAAACCGTAAGAACAACTGGTGGCAGAAAAGAATGCATGCAAGGCATAGGAACTGTACGCTATTAAATTCGCATTGTCTCGTTTCGCACGATGCTTGGTTTCCTATCGTTTCCACGTAATTATTGAGGGTCGTGAAATTTCCGCGCTAGCGCTTAAACTGCGCCTCGGTATAGACAAAAAACGAGCGCGCTTATACTCTTAGACTCTTACGCGTGCGCGCATCGTCTGCGTCGTTCGGACGGCAAGCAAGGAACAAAGACCGGACACGAGTTGTGCAACGAGATGTTTATCCGAGCAATTATCTATGCCAGAGAACCCCGACCAAGCATTTCACTTTTATTCCAAATGATGCACGGTCGAGGACTACCGCCACCTGTTACGTACGACTACCTGACACATGCGACTCGTGATAGACCAGCTGGCACCCGATGCATCGTGCTCGAATTTGTCGTTAATCTCTTAGGTCTTAGAGCGACGAAGCTATCGGCGCATCGAGAAAAAGCATCAGAGTCAATCGTTACTTGGAAACACGTTGCGGGGACATTTCTTCCCGAAGATCGCTAACGAGCGTTATTACAGAGACACGTGGAACTCCTCGAGTGTAGCTGTGTCGGCTACCTCTCGCTCTCGTTTTCTCCGCATCGAAACTTTCGCCAGTTACCGATTAGAAATCTCGCGTTTGCTTTTAACGGATCTGCCGTTGCGTTGCATTTCGAGTCACCTGAACGGGCTATTTGTTAAATAGATGCGTGATTGTACGACATTTCATTGGTCGCTATCCATCTGCACTGCGTAGACGGGCTGTTTCTTACACTGCTAAAATGTTAACAGTTAAATAGAATGAGTATTTTACTTTAAAGAAAAAAATGATATATATAACTTATAAAAAAATAATGAAGAAGACTTTAGAAAGAGGATGATCACACGACGCGCAGACTGGGCCTGACCAAAGCCGGAGGATGCGGTATTGAGAAAGGTCTGAAATAAATCCGGGTGAACGGATAAGGCGAGGACCCGAGACTCGTCCTGCTTTCCAAGTTGAATCAGGAAGCCAGCGATCTACGGGGTGCTTCGACGGTCTGCTCACGATCGTCGATCGATCGAAGGCGAAATGCAACCTGCGACAATTGATCACGGTAGTTTGAAAGTCGAGCTCGTTACGGGTCGATCGAACGAGAGAATCAAGGCCGGCCAGAAACGCGTATCGCGTTGCCAACATTGTTAGTCACCTAACTGAACGAACCGTAAGGTCACGCGCGTCTATTAGCGTTAGTACCCTTGTCCGTGCACTTTGACGGTGTAAGGTTCACAGTATCGACGGAAAAATCAGCATGATCGCGTGCGGTCGTTAAAAGTTGCACGCGAACGGCACGGGCAAACACAGTTTCGATGCATTGTTGAACAGTACCGCTTTCCTTTCTCGCTTTTGCACGCGTCGCAGGATTGCTTTCGATTTTCGCAGCGATAGACGATAGGGTGCCACGAGTTGCCTCACCGATGAATTTCTAAGTAGATTATGCCAGTAGGGGGTCGGACCGTGCGTTGTGAATCAAACTGCATGAGATCTGTGGTTTCCTCTGTTCGGGGTAGCTCAGAGTGACGCACTTGCTTGAGAAACCGATCGCGGATAATGCAGACGGATCGAGATTAGCGTGCGAGCAACCACCGATCTGTCGCGATGATTAATTTGCGGCAATGTCTCGCGTTGTACGCAACTTTAACATTGTCCGACAGCTTATCGGACCGTCGCTTATCAAAGCATCGATGACTGAAACTACGCAGTCCGACTGTTTCGTTTCAGTTTCCCTTGAAATCCGCGGTACCAGAGTTCGTCACGCGCAAAGAAAGTCTCGGTACGATCATCGCCGGATAAGAAAAGCATCAGCGAAGACCGCGAAACGTTTTCCCCCGCGACGCGTCAGACCCGAAGCGAAAGTGTTCTACCTCGAACGCGGAAAGACACCTTGCTGTAGAAAGTATGTAACGCCGAGGAAACAATTACGTAGCTTCGGTGTCAATTATACAATGTTTTCGAAATAGGTGTAACTTTAAGACCGTTCGCTTTTTAGACTCGATAGGGAATAACGGTGCAAATAGGACCTACCTAGATTGCAATTGTCCTGAGCCTCCTCGCACCGGGAAACTACCCTAATGATTGCCCGGCCCGCCAACTGAACGCAAACAGCCATGGCCACGTTTCTCTCCCCTTGCTCCGGCGTTACTTGTTGCACTTGTTCACCATTGTACGAAGGTGGTCTCATCTTTTCTGTTATCGACTCCGGGATAAGTCAAGGAACAAACCAATCGTCTCGATCTCCACGAGATGTTCTCTCTCCGTGCGCACCACTCGAATCGCTCCAACCGTAATGGAAATCCACGGGGCAATTAGTACACGTGTCTATTGTTTTCTTCTTCAGGGTATATCGATCAGCACTCTCGCCCCCTATCAAGAAACCAGCATGTTTCGATGCGAGACACCACTGTTCCGGCCAGGCGTTCTACTCTACAGAAGTCAGAAGAACATCGGCAAGGAGGATCGGATGAACTCGGATCGCGCCGCTTCGAACACACGATTCTCCACGGTCTCTGTGTCTCAGCACTCGTGGAGAAGAGCGAGAAAAGAATCGAGACCAACGAAAGCGTTCGTCTCAAGTGACGCAGCCTGGCACTGACGCGCGTTACTGCACGCGGTGCTATTTAAGCCCTCGCAGCGAGTTGCCGCGAGTCTCTCCCACCAGAGATGCATCTTGGATCAGCTGACTACTTTGTTTCGATTCCCTCTCTTTGTTTGAAAACAACTGTAGGGACACGTTGCAACGCGGTGCGCGGATTGGCCTTGGCCGCATCGGCAACCCATCGAAATTGGTGCTCGCCGTTCAGCATAGGAAGGTCGCCTCTAGATCTCCAGGATCCTCTTCCGCTTTGTCTCGCGGGACAACGCGGCGAGATCTTTTCGGGAACCGATTGGATTTTCCGCGTTGCACCTTGTCCGCAAGTCGAGGTCAGCCATTGAGTTTTCCCTGTCCAGAACAGAAATAGTCGGACACGCGGTTGCGGCCGCGCAAAGGTCTCCCCGGACAACTTCTCTGAAAGATACGCGAACAGCCGGGCTTCGATGGAAACAGGAAGAGCTCGGCTGGATGCAAACACCTTCTATGACTCATCTGACGACGCGAACACTGCCGCAACGAGCTCCGTGTTCCCGATCGCGTCGATTAGATTAACGCATCGTTATTATCATCCTCCCGTATCCTATCGCATTTTGTGGAAAAGCGACAAAAGTCTCTCGCAGTTTCGACGACTGCGTTACAGCCGCGCTTCCTGTTACGCTCTGTTACGGAATCCGCGTTCCCTTGTATCGTACTCTTTAATTAACGCCAAGTTTCTTTCATCTTTAATTCATGAGACGCTAAAGAGCAATTTCGAACGTAGATCAATATTTCCGGTGTTATCCGTTTGTCGTTACGCAATGGGAGAGGCGTGAAGGAAGCGTTCGCGATCGCGTTCGTCGGCCGCTTTATGAAACGGTTCTCCCTGGTGTTTGATTCTGTGTCGCTGTTCGGATATTTTATATTTCATGTTCTATCGCGAGGGGTTACATAAATGCGCAATTAGCGGCGCACCTCGCGCGCAACCAAAAGTCCTCCTGGCCGCTCGGGTCTGACGCGCTTCCGGCTAGCCGCGTGCGAAGGCGAAAGCTTTGTCGAGTCGTTTCTCTGAAAGATATTCTTTAAACGCTAAAAGCGTCGTTGGAAGTACAAGGTCACGCAAATACAAGAAACGACGATAATCGTCGTCGCCGTCGGCACGATGCCTACTGCGCCATTGCGCGACACTCTTTATTCCAGCAAGCGTTACTGCCGGGCTCTTTTCACCGTTTGTTTCCAAAGATAACGCCTAGGGTTTGTTTTTAACAGACGAGAGCAATAAAATGCTCCTTTCAGGAATAAGTACGTAGTGGTCCGCGAATCGAAGAAATAGAATCGGTAAGCAATCATTAGACACGCTAGCCAAGTTTTACTCGATCACTCGATTCCATTTACAGTACCGATTTGTTCTTACAGGAGATATCGGGCACTCCTCGGTGGGATTACCGATTGATAGAGCATCATCCCGTAGATCGGGACGAAGAGCACAATTAACGAAGGAACCATTTTAAAATGGAACACGTGCACGGTCGTTTCGTCGCGATAATAAACAACGAAACGAGCGCGTCTGGAGCAGTTGGCAAAATTGCCAGCTCCAGCCTCTCGTCCTCTTCGCCCCTGTCTCGTCTATCACGAACAAAAGAGAGCAGCGAACGGAGTTTTGGCGCGCGTCGTGGGATTCGAGATCAAGAAGCGTGCACGTTTCGCCACATTAAACAACGATTCTACGGCTTTCTCCTCGAGATCCAACGCGCTGGTTGGCTCGCGATCGCGAACTGCTGTGGGAAATTTGCGCCGCGATACTCCGACGAAAACGGACTTATTCAAACAAATACAAAGCGTTCGCTTTTGTTCTTCAGGCGTCGAACAGTTTCCAGGAAGAGGAGGATTCGACAGCCTTGGGGTATTCCAGGATTATCAGCTGGAAAACAATTGAGCGACCGCCGGTGGATCGTCATCGATCGGCTCTTTTCTTCTCCGGAGGACTTTGCTCTCCATTCATCGCGCAGCCCAGCGCCCAACAGGGATAAAATGTTTATACGAATCGTCGGTATGCTTGGCATGCGGCCAGAGGATACTGCGCGTGCATTTCGCGGACCAGAATAGATTCGCGGGCCAAATCTCCCATGACTTCTCGTTCGTCGTGCTCCTGTTCGCTTTCGCGCGCGCGGAGGAGCGTGCGCGTGCGAGATAAAAGCTGCAAGCGGATCGAGATCGATGCACGCGGCTTCTGCGCACACGTGTGCATCTCTCTGCTTTCCCCTCTGTCGCAATCTCTCTCGTTCTTGCTAGCCCGCTCGCGCGTATATCAGCTTGAAACGCGTTTTCGGCTGTTCCAGTCGCCGGCGGGTCTGCTCGAGCCGTATGGGCGCGGATCGACTGATCCGGTGCCAACGACACGCGTCTCGACGAGGGCAAGTAGATCATTGGCACCGCGAGTCGTCGATGACTTTGCGTTTCCGAAAACGACGCGCAATTTTACGGCAGACGCGCGATTCTGCTCGATCGCTCGCCAACTCTGGCGCGTCACAGTCGCAGATGGAAACAACGATGTTCCGCGAATAAAATCGCGCGAAGAATAGATCTTCATTTTGTCGTCCGGTGACCTTCCGGTCGTAAACGTTTACGGAGACGCAACGCGAGACAAACAAAACGGGTACGACTAAAATTTTGACGAAATCAACGAAATAGATGCGATACAGTTTACACTGATATGGACCATGCGATACGATAAAGTGAAAGAATTATTCGTTGAACGAACACTTCGAGTTTTGGAGAATAATGGTAGTTTTCCTGAGTGCTATAGCAAAACGGACGGAGAGCGCTCGGAACTGCGGATTCGTTGCGAGCACGCGAGGCGTTGGCCCTATAAAATCGCTCGACTTTGACGCAGGTTCTTTGTGCGGCTACTGCGTCGTCCGTTTTTCGAGTATTTTCATGTTTACTCAGAAGTCGGACGTCCCGTGCGGAAATGACGCCGCTAGTTTTAGGTGGGCCGACCTCGATCCTCTTGATTCGCGCGTGTTCCCGCGTCTATTTCGCGCCAATCAAATATTTTCCGACACTGCCGCCCGCGTTTCTCCGCTCTCAACAAATTCATTTACTTCTCGTTTCAATAATCTATATTCATTTCTTTATATTGACTTTACATCTTTTTAACAATGAATCGTAATACCTTGCGAAGCCAGGAAATATATGTATAATATACATTCAAGGCTTGTTCAACCTTCGAGTTTATTATGGATGGAATTCTATCGTATCGCGTGTGTTCGTCTTTATCCGAATGTGTAGTATGTACGTGCGTGTTGTGTGGTGTACGCCGTACACGATTGAATTTTGCGCGTAGGCAATGATCGGGCATCGTTAAATCAGTCGCAGCTGACGAGGTTTTCGTTGCAGAGCTGGTTTGCCGACAGTTGTTTCGCGATTTTTCGCAAGACAGAGAGATATACAGAGACTATTCGGAGAGTACGCGCGGGTTTTCGACAACCATTCGCTTATGACTTCAAAGTCGACGTGTTTTACACTACTATTGATATGAAAAAGAGTAACTCCTGCTCAAGACTATCAAACGCTACTACGAAGTATCTATAATTGCCCGTTACCGTCGCGTCTCAACTCAAAGACACGTTATTTCGTTACCCTAATTAAAATACTTGACTAACCACAGCTACTTGAACCTACACCAATCGAGAGAATAATCTAAACACTGCGCGAACGCATTCGACGATCCGCGTTGTACTCTGTCCTCTACTAATACACGCATAACCCGTAAATACAAGCCCTTAATTATTTGGTGTTTTCTCCGATAAGCTAAAAACGATAATATCACGGTCAGATTACTCACGAGTATTGTTTCGAGGCCTATCACGATATTCCCTTCGCGCGTGCTTCACAAAACAACGAAACCAATGACTGAGGAAATATACGTTCTCCGGCTGTTACCGTCTATCCGAAAGCTTTGCCGCTTTGAATGTGTGTCGATGTAACTGGGTTTTTAAAGCTCGCGTAGAAAGTTCACTCAAGGGTTAAATAAATATGTATGTGCTACTGTACTTTGTACAAAACTTTGGCGAAAACCGAGGCGCACGGAACGAGGGACTACCGAACACGAGTATCGCAGCACAATATAAAAAAGAACAATCGAAAAAAGTATATCGTATGCGTTGCGCGTGCACGTAGGCGTGCAACACTTAAAAATGATCGTCGGAACTGATCGACGTTCGCTGATTTAGACCGATTTCGAGTCGCTCGGGTTGGAATGTTGAAATCGCAAATGCCGGATCGATTATTTGCCGGTTTCTGCTCGCGGAACTCGAATCCGTTAAGAGTCCTCGCTGACCTGGGACCGGTCTAATGCTTCCTGCGCGTGCTGCAGCCCGGCGCAATAGTGTAGGAGTAACACGCTCAGTGCTTGCACCCGCAAATCGCTCTGCGCGATCAATTTAATACTGTCCATGTCCCCGGTCTGCGTTAGCTCTAATCTTGAGGTAGTTTCCGCGTCGAGCGCGGTTTTCAGCTTACTCATCTGCGTACACGTGGAAAAGATCGATTAGTTGGTCTCATTGATCACAGCGGCTGGTTGCATTTTCAACCTTCTAATCGGCACATCGCAAAATTTTTAACTAGACCGCCTGAGATTTTCAAATAGTAAAGATCTAAGATCCACATATGCTCGGCTTCATTTTAGGTTCGTCTCTTTTCAGTTGTTCAGGAAAGTTGAAAATCCGTGTTCTTTTATTTTGAAGCATCGAAGAAAGGAAGCCGAACATTCGTGGATTAATAGGTTTGCTATCGCAAATGATCTTACCATGGTGTTGATCTTCTCGACGCGCTCCCGTGGCTCAAAATGTTTATATAAAAATTTGCCGGTGTCTTTAGCCCTGGACATAAGACCATCGTCTAGATCCCCGGCTACCAGAGGTGCTGCCACGCTGGGCTCTGCGCCCTCCAACAGGTCTGGACTTATGCCCAAGCCTCCGACCAATGAGTTCTAAACGTTTCAATAATTTGATCAGATTCGTCGGAGCGGAATGTTTAGTTTAAAAATCTTGATCCTAGAGAATGATGCGCTGACTCGACTTACAATGCAACAGGTAGCGATATAGACAGAGAGAGAGAGAGAGAGAGAGAGAGAGAGAGAGAGAGAGAGAAAACACGCAGAGAATTAGAAAAAGAGCGTGGAAANCCGTTACCGTCGCGTCTCAACTCAAAGACACGTTATTTCGTTACCCTAATTAAAATACTTGACTAACCACAGCTACTTGAACCTACACCAATCGAGAGAATAATCTAAACACTGCGCGAACGCATTCGACGATCCGCGTTGTACTCTGTCCTCTACTAATACACGCATAACCCGTAAATACAAGCCCTTAATTATTTGGTGTTTTCTCCGATAAGCTAAAAACGATAATATCACGGTCAGATTACTCACGAGTATTGTTTCGAGGCCTATCACGATATTCCCTTCGCGCGTGCTTCACAAAACAACGAAACCAATGACTGAGGAAATATACGTTCTCCGGCTGTTACCGTCTATCCGAAAGCTTTGCCGCTTTGAATGTGTGTCGATGTAACTGGGTTTTTAAAGCTCGCGTAGAAAGTTCACTCAAGGGTTAAATAAATATGTATGTGCTACTGTACTTTGTACAAAACTTTGGCGAAAACCGAGGCGCACGGAACGAGGGACTACCGAACACGAGTATCGCAGCACAATATAAAAAAGAACAATCGAAAAAAGTATATCGTATGCGTTGCGCGTGCACGTAGGCGTGCAACACTTAAAAATGATCGTCGGAACTGATCGACGTTCGCTGATTTAGACCGATTTCGAGTCGCTCGGGTTGGAATGTTGAAATCGCAAATGCCGGATCGATTATTTGCCGGTTTCTGCTCGCGGAACTCGAATCCGTTAAGAGTCCTCGCTGACCTGGGACCGGTCTAATGCTTCCTGCGCGTGCTGCAGCCCGGCGCAATAGTGTAGGAGTAACACGCTCAGTGCTTGCACCCGCAAATCGCTCTGCGCGATCAATTTAATACTGTCCATGTCCCCGGTCTGCGTTAGCTCTAATCTTGAGGTAGTTTCCGCGTCGAGCGCGGTTTTCAGCTTACTCATCTGCGTACACGTGGAAAAGATCGATTAGTTGGTCTCATTGATCACAGCGGCTGGTTGCATTTTCAACCTTCTAATCGGCACATCGCAAAATTTTTAACTAGACCGCCTGAGATTTTCAAATAGTAAAGATCTAAGATCCACATATGCTCGGCTTCATTTTAGGTTCGTCTCTTTTCAGTTGTTCAGGAAAGTTGAAAATCCGTGTTCTTTTATTTTGAAGCATCGAAGAAAGGAAGCCGAACATTCGTGGATTAATAGGTTTGCTATCGCAAATGATCTTACCATGGTGTTGATCTTCTCGACGCGCTCCCGTGGCTCAAAATGTTTATATAAAAATTTGCCGGTGTCTTTAGCCCTGGACATAAGACCATCGTCTAGATCCCCGGCTACCAGAGGTGCTGCCACGCTGGGCTCTGCGCCCTCCAACAGGTCTGGACTTATGCCCAAGCCTCCGACCAATGAGTTCTAAACGTTTCAATAATTTGATCAGATTCGTCGGAGCGGAATGTTTAGTTTAAAAATCTTGATCCTAGAGAATGATGCGCTGACTCGACTTACAATGCAACAGGTAGCGATATAGACAGAGAGAGAGAGAGAGAGAGAGAGAGAGAGAGAGAGAGAGAGAAAACACGCAGAGAATTAGAAAAAGAGCGTGGAAAAGATGTGACTGGCAATCGCAAAGCGTTTGTACCAATTATCGCTCTATGAATGACTTGTAACAGTTGTAGAGATATTAATACGACCTATTATGTAAGAAGCGCAACGGTGACGGCCTTGATTGTGCATCTGTTACTCTAAATAACAATTAGTGACATGATCAATGTAAAACGGTGCGATCATTTCTTTTGCGACAGAACGTAAAGAAGCCAGTGTGATAAATAGCGACATTAGCGACAAATGGACAGAGAGAAACGAAGAGGAAGATAGAGAGAAAGAGGAAATCCTACCACACGCGAAGCGATCAAACACCTTGTTAATCAGCAAGCGTGATGAGTGCTGTTAGAGTTGTTGGTGTAGAAAATTGGGCAGAAAGAGAGGAGGAATGGAACAGAGAAGAGGTAAAATTGTATATGGGCAATTGCCGATCATATTTCTGTTATCAAGAACAGTCAGTGACCCTGGCCGATAACTAGCAACCGCGGTCAATGACCCCAAACGTTGAAGAGGAAATCGTTAATTCTTCTCCGTTCCAAGCGAACAAATCTGTGGTATTAAATTCTACCTTGCGGGATGCACAGGGACTTGGGGGAAGACTTCTAGATGCCAGACCAGTACCGGAAGCCGGTGGTGCCAAGCAACTGGTACTTCCAGCCTTCTTCAGGCCCAACAGAGTGTTAGCTATACTAGCCTTCATGGCCATCATAGTTGCACCCTGATTGATCGGATCAACGTATTGGAAATTTATTAATACAATCTTCTATTGGTATTATTAGAGCTTACTGTAACGATAACGAAAGAAATGTGATTGTGATGTCTCGATCCGATTCGTTTTCTTTCATTCTGCTAGATCACCTACTAGCTTCTGTTACACGACACCGAAGCAAAACGATGCGTGTCTATATACGAACAATGCTCACAGATACCGAATACTCAACAAACAAAGGTCAAGGTGCAATCCTACAAAAAACCTTCACCGCCCTCTAAGTACAGATGATCAGATTCGTTTTATTGGCAACAAATAAAGTGGAACACACTTAACAGTTGTCTCTCTATATACAAAGTACCAAGAAAATACTCTATTTTATATAATGATATGTTGTTTAAAAGTATACATTTTTTTTAATTGTCTGAAACTGCAATTCCTTGTATCGGATATGATCGCGAAGATATATATATGCAAGATAATCGTAACTCTCATGGATTCTCTTTTCATAGAAGTTCTACCTCGCGAGAAACTCAATATACAATTTCTTAATAAAAATAGAGAAATTACACGTTAATTACACGTTAATCACACGCTCGATAAATTCGAAAGATTCCAGACTAGTTTCTCCGTACTGTGACCGTTTCTTGTTTCTCCGGACCAAATGGTAAAAGAATGGAGTCGCCAACATATCGACGTTTTTCAGCTAGTTGGCAATACCATTTTCAGCGTTTAAGAAATACTTTTAGAACGTCTTGAGTACCTGTACAGTATCTTCGCAACTGGTTAGAGATATCTCTGGACCTGGCTCCCCAATTAGAGTATTAGGCTCTATTTCGTCGGTTTCTAATGCCATTGTTAAACTTTCCGCCCCGCAACTTCCTGACGCTTGACAGCGAACCTCGCATTTCTTGTGGCACACCATACCACAATCTCTGCATTGTACAGCATCCTTCAACCAAATCTGTATGGTTTAAAATAACATTCTTTTATATTTTATTCGGGGCGGATTGTATATGATGGAATCTTATTCACGTATGTTTAAGAAATTATTGTATCAGGTCATCCCATAAGTCACTCCAAAAACATGTTTCCAACCATTGGTATTTTATATATTTTACCTTGTTTTTGTATGTCCTATAATAATAAGTAGACTCGCATTATTTATGGGATGTCCTGATAAGAACAATTCTGCATTGCTGTAGTTTTTCTTTTCTGCAAGAATTGGCGATAAAAATATAGATTCAAACCTTCTTTGTACAAAAATCACAGTGTGTTGCTCTGTGAAAGTGTGTTCTAATGAAATCGTGCATTTTCTTATCAATAATCTCCTCGTTTAGTGCTGGTTGCGTTTTGGCAGTCTCAATACTCTCCTTCTTCCCTGGATCGCTAGCCATGTGACGAGTTGGATAACTGGACTTCCACACATAAGATAGCAAAATATCACCGTAACAAAGTGTCGGATCAAAACCAGAATAGCCTTGTAATTTCACGTGGGCCGTTGTTAGTGAAGCTTTCAAACGGGTAAGGCAAGATTAGTAGAAATTAACCAATGCATCCAATCTTTGTACATTAATAATGATACATACTACTATCGGGTGGTAGTAAAGCATGGCATTTGAGATAATGACCAGTTGAGGATGTATAACATTGTGCTAGAATTAATTTCATAGGGACATTAATGTATCCTAATAATTTAGCAGGTAATTCACCTCCTTTTACACGACCCCACACGCCAATATTTAAATATTGTAATTCTGAATTAATTTGAAAGTTTCTAGTCTCTTCGAAACTAATTAACGAAGCATACTCCTTCTCTTTTGTAGTGTAATACAAGTATGTTACATCTGTTATGTAATTATCATCGTAACATAACTGGGAGCTAGTAGTGGACATTAACGATTGACTCGAAGTCGTCGAAATTTTTCTAGAGGGTGTAGAATCAGGTGTATGAGCTGGCTCCTCTATAGCGTGTACACTGCTTTTTCTTCTAGAAAATTTACTACTCGTCTCCAATGCCTCACTAGCTTCGTTCTCTGAATCTTTCAAGTCTGAAAATTTGATTTGGCTTTCGAATTTGATTTTATTACTGTCTTCTACGCTCGGTGTGTCTCCTCTGCTCGTTATAAGATCCGTCTTCAGTGATTTTCTGTCTCCTGCCTTCTCCACGGACAGCTTATCGCTGTCTACTTTCATACTGATTTGCTTATCCGAGTCGGTTTTCGAGTATTTCCTTTCGACTCTAATAATAAATCGCCTCTGCACAGCATTTTTCACAAGTTTGGCTACCTGGTTCATGCTAGATACTTTTTTACCATCTACAGCTACCAAAATATCTCCCTTCCTCATCTCGGCTATTGCCGCAGGACTCCCGCCTACTATCGTTTCGACTAGCACGCAAACGTGCCCTATCTCTGGCACAATTTCTTGCTTAAATACTACGCCGAGTTGCTGAGAACCAACTTTGCTAATTATCAAATCCAACACCATATAAGGAACTCCAGTATATTGAGTAAGAAACACCCACGGTGTCGAATCGACGCTTAATGTACAATAAATTTCAATTTGCGACTTGTCCTCTGCATTCAGCATGTTAGGTCCAAGATTCAATCTGCTCACTTCGAATAATGATACTTGCAAAAAGCCTGGTATCAATTGAATATTGGCAACCTGAAGGAACATTTTTGTAGATTATACACTACCTCATTATTTCACAATTATGCAGAATTGCAATTGGATTACTGCATGAATTATGCTAAGTAAAGTAATGGATTGCATCTTACTTCGGATAAATCTACTGCTTCATCGTTCAGTCTGCGGAAGAATGGTTTGTATCGCAGTTTATAATGAGGTAGTGTATGCTTTTTACGCACAGCTCTTCGAATCTGTCCGGTGATTAAAGAGATAATCTGTGGTTGTAATTGACGACCTTGAAATTGAGATTGTACCTCTAATTCGAGTATAGGTTCTGAATAAAAACTTAAGGACCAATGAGTATATGGAACACGTGTAAACTGCAGTCTGGCTCTACCACTGATCCTTTTCACTGCAAAAAGTATTAATATTAGTTATACTCAAAATTTTACAAATCCTTACATACTTTTAATATATCTTACCTTGTAAAGCCATATAGGCAGTTTTGCCCAATAACATTTTAACATCTATCGATAGTTGAAAATTACCAGAATAATGCAAATCTAAAGCTAAATCCAATGACTCTAGCAAGCCCGTATCAGCATCTATTTTTGAGTCTGCAACTTCTAAACCTTTTATTGTGGGGAACTGTGTACCTAGATTTAAGTCTCTCAACTGCAAAAATAAAATAATAGTTAATTTTTTCTAGACAATATTTCTATAACAATTCTATTAGATTTACCTTTACACTGTCCAACAGTTTGCCTGTTGTGGACTGAGTCAATAGCTCCTTAAATTCATTGTTTAATTTTCTATGTAACCACAAACGAACCCTCTCTGCATTTCGTAGTTCATTGAACAGAAACTGTAGAGTCAAGTTTATCGCCAAGTTCTCATTGCCTTGGCACATAGCTTGACGTGATATGCTTGTACTAGAAATGTTCTTTTCATCTTGAATCTGGTCAAGTAATTCCTTAGGTAACTCTGCCTTGCCATGTTGGATCGATTTTTCTGGTGGGCTTGCTAGAGGCGCTTGTTCCAAATACTTCATGAACAAGTAAAATTCCAATGCAAGCGTACATATTATACCGTACACAAATGTAATCACAGACACATAAATAAATTCAAAAAAGTCCATATTAAAATGTCACGCAATGGAAACTCAATAGTTTCCTCGATTAATATTGATGTATTCCCTACTAAAATCCAGAAATATCAAGAGCAATTGTAGAAATAGGCACTCTCTTGTGTAACAAGAAGTAATGTAAATGTATAAAGTGTATTTGGAAGTTTATTTCTTATTAATATTCAGGACAGATGCTTCATTAACATTCGTCCGAAATATTAGGAACTTATACAATATCTCTGATATCCGTCAATCGTTAAAAAACATGTTATCTTTCTAATGCCGCATTACATTGTTGTGAATCACCCTCTACTTACGGGTCAACAATTATTCAGAACACTTTCACCTATTATTACGACGATCGAAATTACGGCATTGTCACGAAAATATAAAGAAGCTTTCTTACAGTTTAAAGAATATACATATTCACAAAGAAACGTTTCGGCGAAACATTTTGAAGAATCTAATAACGCCGACCAACTACGAACGAAACGTATTATGACAGTTTTCTATTGATCTCGGCAGCCATGTTAGTGCCAGACAAGCTTGTCAAATTGACAGATTGTCTGATTGTCAATTTCATGTATTATTTACACTTGAAGAATATTTTTGATTTATACCTATTTTAATGGTTTGCAATATTTCAAATGTTGGAATTACATTGATAAATATATTTGTATTAGACGTTATAAAAATATTTATAGAAACCGAATTGAAAGAAAATCAATATCAATATTCACTCAGTGAAGCATAAAAAATGATAACTACGAGATTTTTTAACATTTTCTAATATAAATTATACCCAAATTCAATTAGATGATACTCTATTTTTAAGGGAATAATTTTGTATGAGTAAGAAAAATCATAATACTTTCCATATGGAGTACTATCTACATTG